AGCTATTGTAAACAGGGCTGCTATAAACATAGGGGTGCAGGTGTTCTTTGGAATGGATGTTTCTGTGTCCTTTGGGTAAATACCTAGGAGTGGAATTGCTGGATCATATGGAAGCTCTCATAATGTTCTATTTCTAGTGGAAAATCTGCTGATAATTTTTTTCAGTCTGCTTCAAGAATCTGAGCATGTATAAAGTCTCCTTGAATTAACGCCTAGCATTTTTTATAATCTTCTTTTTAAAATTCCTTAATAAAAATGCATTAAACACTGAATATTAACCTTTGGTCCTGCCATCTCAGCTCTTAGTCTCTCTGGAGGACATCTCTTTTCCTTACTCTTGTGCTGCAATTACAAACAGGTTTCTTTCTCAGCATACCCAGCTTCCTCCCAGCATATTCCTCACATCATAGCTAACCCCCTGCACAAGTGGACCATAACTGCTTTACTCAAAATTGTGTGATTCAAATCATACTCCCAGGCATGCTTGAAACTCATTCAGATTTCCATTCTTCTCATCAGAGACTCTCTGGCACTTATCTCTACCCCTCCTTGCTCTCTCTGAAAAGGTTGTATCAACTGCTTTCATTTCTGACAATTACTGTCCGCATTAGGCTGAACCACTACCAGCCCACACCCGGTCTCTTTGCTTTAGTTATTTTTTTCAGATTTTTCAAAATATAACTGACATAAAACATTTTGTAAGTGTAGCTGTACCATGTGTTCATTTGATACAGCTTACGTAGTGCAAAATAATTACCATAGTAATAGTATTAGCAAATATTTTCATCCCATCACAAAATTACCATTTCTTTTTTTTGCAGTGAGAACAAGATCTATACTCTCAGTAACTTTCAAATATATAGTATAGTATTAGATATAATCACTATGCTTTAGTTTAACTCTCCTGAATTGCTTAATTTTTTACTAGCATTTTGTATCCTTTGATTAATTCAATTTTTCCTCATTTCCCAACTCCTAATCCCTCATGACCACCACTCTACTTTCTATTTCTCCGAATTTGGCTACTTTAGATTCCAAAATATAGATGATATCATACAGTATTTACCTCTCTCAACAGTCATTTTTAAACAATTCGTTTTAAGTATTGATCTGTCCTCTTACCTCAAAAAGTGATTTCCTTTCCCTGGTGTTCTCTTGAGGCATTCCTTGTCCATGTTTCACTTGTATTCCTCTTACATCCCTGCATACCCCCCCAAAAAAAAACCCACCTCTTCTTTTGTGTCTCTCTCCTCTCCATACAACCCCTCCTACCTCTCCCTTCTCTCACACCCAATGTATATTACAGTCTCTTAATCAGCTGCAGCCAATATCAGTGTTTCATTACCCTTTCCTTCTTGACCTCTAAAGCTAATTCAGTTGGGCAGCACTACATATCATTGTGACATTCTCTTGGGTCACGACTCAGGACTGCTTGTTCGATGATAACCTCCTATGACTTGGAAACAATGTAAGTGCCAGTGGCAAGTGATTGCATAAAGATGATGTGGAACTTAAACACAATGGAATACTACTCAGCTGTGAAAACAACATGGATAGACCTATATGGTCTATCTCATTCACCTACAGCCACACTTCCACCCACCTCTGCACTGAAACTGCTCTCAACATACATTGCCAACCTGATTGAAAATCCAGTGGCCTCTTTACAATCTCCATCCTCCTTAATAAAAGCTAACATTCATCTTTCCCCTACTATCTGCAAGGCATAGTTCTTAAGGTTTTAGATTTATTAGCCTACTAAGTCATTGACAGCTCTCTAAAGTCAGTTCATACTCTCCTTTTACACACACACACACACACACACACACACACACACACACAAAGCTCAGTCACACAGCTGGAAGTGGTAGAAACTTCCACTGCAGCCAGTGTGTCTTTTCTAACTCTGTGAAAACAACATGGATAGACCTATATGGTATTACGCTAAGTGAAATAAGTCAGATGGAGAAAAACAAACACTGTATGATTTCACTAATGCAGAAGTTAAGGAAACAAAATTAATGACCAAACCAAACAAAAACAGATTAATAATAAAACAGCAGAAGGGAAGGGAGAGTAAGTCAGGTAAAAGGGGTCAATTATGTGGAGAAGGCTGGAAACTAGACTTTTGGTGGCAAACATAATGTAGTGTATACAGATGTTGATTCATAATGGTGTGCACCTGAAACCTATGTAATATTATAAACCAACATTACTTCAATAACCAAAACGTTAATACAATTTTTTTAAAGTTTTTAAATGATAGTCTCTTACATAGCAATTTTTCAGACTACAAATCATATTCAATTTATAAACTCTCCTAGCTAATATTTGATTACTTCTGGCAGTAGTTGGAACCCTGCTTCCCACATGGAAAGCTCTGGCAAGTTTATCATTCACCACTAAGAGTGAGAACCCCACTGAAACAATGAAACGTTTTTCGAACATCAGAAGACACTGCATAACAAAAAATGCTTCTGTTGGGGAAAAAATGTGGCGGTATCACCCTTTTAGACTTCACACTATGCTACAAAGTGATAGTAATTAAAACAGCTTGGTATGGGAATAAAAACAGACATAAAAATAATAGAATAGAATTGAGAGCTAAGAAATGAAAACACATATAGTTAACTAATTTATGACGAAGGAACCAAGAGCATGCAATGGATAAAGGAGAGCCTTTTTATATAGTCTTGAGAAACCTGGACCATTATATGCAAAATAATGAAACAAAACCACTATTAGACATCATACACAAAAACTACCTCAAAATGGATTAAAGACTAGAAACTCTAAAATACATGAAAGAAAAAATGGACCATACACTATACTTGACATCAGCCTTGGAGATGTGTTTGGGTACTCAACTCCAATGGCAAGGGAAACAAAAGCAAAAATAAACCAATGGGCTTATGTCAAATTAAAAGCTTCTTCAGAGAAAGAAATAAAAACAAGAACATTCTACTGAATGGGAGAAGATATTTGCATATAATACATCTGAAAAGGGGTTAAAATCCAAAATATTCAAAAAATTAAGAAAACAGAACAATGAGGCCTCCCTGGTGGAGCAGGGGTTAAAGTCTCAGCAGCCACTGTAGTCTGAGTTCAATCCCTGGCCAGGGAGCTGACCCACGTGGCACAGCAGACCTTTCCTGACTAGCCCTCTACTCCCCTCAGCAGTGTATTTCAGTCAATCTGCCTGTTTTGCTCCCTACTCTGTCTCTGGTGAATCCTCTCACCCTCCACACCTCTGGCCTACACCCCAGTTCTTGTATGCATAAATAAATAAATAAAATTAGCCTTTTAAAAAAAAGAACAATAAATAATATGAACAAATTGTTTTAAAAAATTCCCAGAGAATCTGAACAGATACTTCTATTGGGATGGCAAATAGGTTCATGAAAGACATGCGGATGGCAAATAGGTTCATGAAAAGATGTTCATACTCTTATCATCATGAAATGCAAACTAAAATACCAATAAGATATCACCTCATTGGGCCTCCCCAATGGCGCAGTGGTTGAGCGCTGGGTTGCGAAGCTGCCCACAGCCTCTGCAGCGCCGGTTCGATCCCCAGCTGTTCCCAGGCCACCGGAGGAGGGTCCCACATGGCACACAGACCTCTCCTGCCGCCCGCTGCTTCCCTCAGCAGTGTACTTCGGTCCTTCTGCCTGCTCTGCTCCCTGCTCTGGCGCTGGTGAATTCTCTCACCCTCCTGTGCTTCTGACTGTACCCAGTGCATGTATAAATAAATAAACAAATCTTAAAAAAAAAAAAAGATACCACCTCACACCTGTGAGAATGGCTGGCATCCAAAAGAAGAGAAACAAGTGTGGGCAAGGAGGTAGAAAGAAGGGAATCCACTGTGTTTGGGGGAATGTAAATTGATATAGCCATTAAGGAAAGCAATGTGGACAGTCCTCAAAAATTAAAAACAAATTCCATATCATCCAGTTACCCACTTCTTGATATTTACCCAAGAAGTATAAAACCATAAATTTGAAGAGCTGTATACACCCCCACTTTTACCGCAGCACTATTTACAATAGGCAAGAACTGGAAATAACCTAAGTGCCCATCAATGGATGGGTGCATAAAGAAGAGGTGATGTATATAGACAACAGAATACTATTCAGCTATTTTTAGAAAATGAAATCCTGCCATTCTCAACAACATGGATGGACCTAGAGGAAATTATGCTTAGTGAAATAAACCAGACAGAAAAAGAAAAACATTGTGATTTCATTCATATGTGGTTGATAGAGAAAACAAACAGATTAACTAAATAAAACAAAAATACTTATGGACTATGAGATCAATTAATGGTTACTAGAAGAGAAGGAAAAGGGCATACTAGTGTGGAAGGACAGATTTAGACTTTTAGTGGTGATCTCATAACAGTATGTACACGTGTTGATTCTCAACAACTGTATTGTTGAGACTTGTATTATGTTATAATTGATATTACTTAAAAATAAAATTTAAAATAAACTTTAAACCAATCTATATATGTTTAATACACTTAAGTTTACCAAGAGAGTCTATTTTTAACAGAGCCACTTTCTAATTTCATTAATGTTAATTGCATATTTTGATAAGAATGTATATTAAAAAAAATACATGCTAGAGTCTTAAATTACTGACCTTGGAAAATAAACCCAAGTGAACTCTTAAGATTCACTACATCCACTACATCTGAAAATGCAATGGGCAGAGGAATCTTATTATGCTTATTATCCATCATTTATCCACTCAGCTTCCCAGTCTACAGCCAGGATGTTTGCTGTTGCTCATAATAAAGATCTGTCCTCAGCAAACCACTGGAGGGGGTTTTCTTTTAAATCTAAAAGGAATAAGAAAAGGTTTTAAAACTATGATTTGGAAAAAGTTCAGCCACAAATTCTCATGAACATTTATGAGATCCGATTTATGTTGTCTTACCTTTGATAAGAAAAGAAATGGATGTATTGTGGTGAATGTGTTCATTGTAATTTTCACAGAGAGATTCGGAATACTAGAAGCTTAACTTACATAGAACCTGGTGCCCTGAAAGAGCTCCCCCTTCTGAAGTTCCTGTGAGTATTAACCATTCTCCCGTCCTAACCTTCTTATGTAAAAAAGAATTATAATGCTACCTGCCAGGATTGTTCTAGAGAGTATGGCAGTGGGACAAGTCATATCCTGTGATTGACTCCCTCACACCCACCCCTACCTGCAGCAAGGTATCAGGTGAAATGAGGTACATTTGAAAACCCCATTCAAGGGTCAGCACATAGTGCTCTACCAGAGACCTGCTCCAAAAGACATGAGTGAGGAAATGCCATCATGTCTGTCTAGTCTTTAAATGGAGTAAACAAACTACAAAACATTGAGTGTCCACTGGTCAATTTGATTGAAATAGGTATTGCAACAATCAGAGTAATTGTTACAAAGGAAAAAAAGGCCATGAAGAATAAAATCCAATCTCTTGGAGGCTAAAGGGACAAACATGGAAGGGACAGTCCTTTGCTTTGGTGACACCCAATGAACTAACTGATTACCTTTATGAGAGCAGGGACCAGCTTTGTTCTCTGCATCTTTGTTGCTCAGCACAGAGAAAGTGCTCGTTATACCTGTGTTTGGTGGATATGTGTGTATGGACTCAGATCTTCTAAGCACCAGCTAAAAGAACCCTACCTTTATTCCCTTCTATTCTACTTAGATACATTTTCAAAAATTAGAGAACAAGAGCCTTCATTATTAAGAAAAACAAAAAAATGCATTTTCATTCCAACACCCTGAAATAAGCAGTATTAATATATTAGTTCATATATATTTATTCATTTATATTTTATTTAGTTCATATATATTTTATTTAAAAGGTTTTTAAGTAAAAGTAGATATTTCATATATGTGTTATGGAATAAATCTGTAATGATGACTAGAAGTTATCCTGGAAGAGAAGGAAGGGATAGAAAATAAATAATGGTGAATGGAATAATATTATAAAGATATGGAATCACAATATTTATTTATTTTTATATTGAAGTATGGGGGATGGGAGATGCCAGGAGTGGAGAAGGATATTGATTGAATCTGTGACTGAAGGGCTATCTGGAGATCAGTGAAAACTTATGGGACAAGCGATCAGTCACTCCCTTATGGACTTTTGAGTTTCAATAAATCAGTGACTCTGAAATAATGATCTCCTACTATGTGCAAGACCCTGTGTAGAACACATGGGATTTTAAAACATTGTCCTTATCTTCAAGAAGCTTACAATCAACTTGGGGGATTTATTGCATATGAAATTGAAAAGTTCCTCTCCTACAGGAGAATACTGAAGGTGACAAATGAGAGGTAAATGTTGCTTGACATCAAAAATGAGATGAACTTGTTTGTGGTTTTAAAGAACATAGAGGTCCTTGTCCCTAATAATAGAATTTCCAGCCCTTTCCTATATGGCCCCCACTTAACCCTTGGACCTTTCCAAAAACCCCCCAACCCACTCTTTCACATGAACACTTATTACATTTGAACTAGTTTGTTTACTGTTCTTCAAATGTACCTTTGAAGAATCTCACCTCTCTCCTTTGTAATCTGGAACTTTTCATTTGCTCTTTCTGACTCCTGGCTTCCTCTTCAAATCTTGTGTCTTCTCCTCTAAAGGAGTCAAGCCTGAATTTGCCCTAGATGATACATCAATGGAACTGGAGTTTTCTCTACTGGAAGACATTCTTGACAGTTTTATGAGTAGGTCTAATGCCATGCCAAAATGCTCAAAAAAAAAAAAAAATCTCTGCTTTCACCACCTACATTGTAGGAAGTGCACCAAATGTTAAACCAATTAAATCTGAGAGGCACCAGGAGCCTGGGAGTTTTTGCATTCATGCTACTTTATGCATGTCTTTTAATCTCAACATCTCGCCCTGATGACACAAACTTCAGAAAGTGAAGATGTTGTCCTTCACTGATTACCATCCTGGTCTGGACATATCTTTTAAATGGTATTGCTGACATGAACTCCTACAACACTGCCCCAGGAAAACCATTCTTGGTGAAATGATGAATACAATATAGGCAGGGGGGCGGAGCAACATGGCGGCGAGGAGACGCTGCGAGTAAGATCTCCCATTAAAAAAAGTTAATAGGGAGGAAAAGCGGCAGGTCCCAGTGAGAACTGGGACACGGAAGATAAACGGGTGACTCCAGCGAACTACCCGAAGAAGAAAGTGGCCATAAAAGAGGACCAGAAGGGAGGGAAGCGCAGAACCCTGCTCCCCTCCCCCGCCCACAGAGGCGGCACTCTCCGACCCGCAGAGAGGAGGAAAACACAAACCAAAACAACCACAAAGAACAACGACGCAGCAAGCGGGACTGTGAGCGGAAAGGAACTATTGCAGCCACCACACCCCGTGAACGGGAGCTGAGGCGAACCCTGCAGGATCCGCCGCGGCGGTGAGCGAACGGCTCCGGGCGCCATTAGAGAAGAACAAAGACCCCGGGAGACGCGCACACAGCCCGGGCTGCCGGTAAGCTGGCGCGGAAAAGCGGCGCGCTTGGCGCGCTTGAAAAGAAAACGCGGACCGGGATCGCGGCTGCCCAGGTCCCCGCGCCTGCGACCTAGGCTTGCGGGGAGATGCGCAGAGGTCCTCACTGAGGTGAAGGTCCCTCCCTGAGTGAGCAGGAAACCAGGCGTCCAGGCACGGGAGCGGTGCAAAAGGCGCCATTCCCGCGCCACTGAACTGGGCTACAGCCCGCGTCCTGGAACTGAGGGCTTTGGAACTGAGACCCGGGGCACGAAATTAGGGGCGTGGGTTCCCCACGACGGTGGGGCACAAGGCAGACACAGCACCCCAAAGCTTGAGGTGTACCCTACCATCCCCGCTCTGCTCCCTGACCCACGGGGTGGAAAATCAGCTCCCCAAGGGCTCTAGGAGAGATCTCTGGCGCCACCTAGCGACTTGAAGCCAGCACAGGCTCCTGAAGGAGCAAGTGGCCAGCTGGGGAGTTAGCCCACGCCAGGCCCCTTCCGAACAAGTAGTCTGAGCCCACAGGGAGAGCGAGCACCCACAGCCGGGGCAGACCAGGCGCGCAGAAGAGTGTGCCTGAGACTGGACGCGCAGGGAGTGTGTCCCACATCACCATTTTAGAACAGGGACATTTCTTCAGTAAAGACTACCTGCACAAGGCTTCCTCAGGAGCCAGAGGTGAGCAGGGGAAGTTCGCCCACGCCAGACCCCCTCTGGCCTGCCGTCCAAGCCCAGAGGGGGAACAGGAACCCACCGCTGGGGCAGACCAGGTGCACAGGGGAGTGTGTCCCCACATCGGCATTTTAGGACAGGGACCTTTCTCCAATAAAGACTGCTTGAAACTGACAGATGACTCCTGGAGGAACCAGAGGGAGCAGAGAAGCCCCACCCAAGATGCCGGCCAGTCCCAACAACACAGTGTCCCAACGCATACGGCAAATTAGAAAACAGACAGTAAGGAGGAGAAGAACCACACGCAACCTAGCAACTCTCCAGAGAAAAGCACACCACAAAAAGAAAACCAGCCCCCAGATGGCAACGACAGTAACTGGAAGAACTTCTGATCCTTCCAGAAAGAGAATTTAAAATTGCCGTGATTAAAAAACTGACAGAAGTCATAAAGGAAAACAATGATAAGGGAAAATAATCAACGATCAGAAGAATGAAATTGAGTCCCCAAGAGGAAAGTAAAAGAAATGCAGGAGATCAAAGAATTAGTGGAAGAACTAAAGAATTCTGGGAAAAGCAATGAAAGCAGAATTGATGAAATGGAAGAACGAATAAGTGCTCTTGAAGACACAGAATAAAAAGAACCAAAACAGAAAAGGAAAGAGAAGTACGAAGAAAAGAATGAAGAAAGACTTCGGGAACTATCTGACTCCATGAGGAAAGGAAATATAAGAGTTATAGGAATACCAGAAGGAGAGGAGAGAGAAGTAGGAACAGAGAAAATATTCAAAGAGATAATTGAAAGAACTTCCCAAATGTGAAGAAGGAGCTGAAAATTGATATACAAGAAGCAAGAAGAACACCAAACTTCCACGACGAAAGAAAAATACAGCAAGACACATAATAGTAAAGCTCCCTAGAATCCAGGACAAGGAAAAATAATGAAGCTGGCAAGAGGGAAGAAACAGATAACATTCAAAGGAAAGCCAATCAGGCTGACATCAGACTTCTCCGAAGAAACACTACGGGCAAGGAGAGAGTGGAGGGACATAGTCAACAGACTCCAAAAACAGATGCCAACCAAGATACTCTATCCCGCAAAGCTCTCTCTTCCTCTTTGAAGAAAGAATATGGACCTTCCCAGACAAACAGAAACTCCGAATTTCATTGCAACTAAACCCCCCACTCCAAAAATACTACAAGGAGTCCTAAAGCCAGAACCTCAGAGGGACGAATAACAATGAAAGAAGGCCAAAAAAAAAAAAAGTTATTAAAAGAATAAATAAATAAAATCAAAGGAAAGACAAACACAATGGCAAATACAGATGTTAACATATCAATATTAACTCTAAATGTAAATGGACTAAACTCTTCAATAAAAAAGACACAGAGTTGCAGCCTGGATTAAGAAACAAAACCCAACTTTTGCTGTCTCCAGGAACACATTTAGCTACAAAAGATAAAAATAGGCTCAAAGTTAAAGGATGGAAAACAATCCTACAAGCAAATGGACCAAAAAAGAAAGCAGGAACAGCTATACTTATATCAGATAAAACAGACTTCAAACTCAAAAAGATAAAAAGAGACCCCAATGGTCACTACATTATGATCAAGGGGACAATACTTCAAGAAGAAATAACACTCATTAACATATACTCACCAAACGAAGGAGCACCAAAATATATCAGACAACTGTTGTCCTCTCTGAAAACAGACATCAGAGAAAACACATACGTAGTGGGAGACTTCAACAACACCACTATCAACAATGGATAGATCAACAAGACAAAAAATAAGTAAAGAAACCAAACTCTAAATAAGAACCTAGACCAATTGGGCTTACAGACATCTATAGAACACTAAACCCCAAAAAAACGGAGTACACATTTTTCTCAAGCGCACACGGATCATTCTCCAGGATCGATCACATACTGGGGCACAAGACAAACATCAACAGATACACCAAGATTGAAATCATATCAACCATCTTTTCTGACCATGAAGGCATCAAACTAAATAAACCATAAAAAAAAAGAAGGCAAGGAACTTTCCTACCTCATGGAGATTAAAAACCACACTACTGGAAGACCACTGGACTAATGAGGAGATCAAAGAAGAAATTAAAAAATTTTTTGAATTGAACGACAAGGAGGACACCAATATCCTAAATGTATGGGATGCAGCAAAAGCAGTAATAAGAGGAAAATATATAGCAATAGAAGCTCACATCAAGAAACAAGAAAGAACTCAAAGAAAACAACCTAATCTCGAAGCTCAAGATCTAGAAAAGAACAACAAAAAAACCCCAAAACCAGTAGAAGAAAAGAAATAATAAAACCAAAGCAGAAATAAATGAAATTGAAACTAAAAAAACAATCCAAAAGATCAATGAAACCAAAAGCTGGTTCTTTGAAAAAAATCAATAAAATAGACAAACCCCTAGCCAGGCTCACAAAGGAAAAAAGGGAGAAAGCACAAATAAACAGGATCATCAATGAAAGAGGAGAAATCACAACGGACACAGAGCAAAATCAAAAGAAAATCAGTAACTACTATGAACAGTTATATGGAAACAAGCTTAACAATCTAGAGGAGATGGACAAATTCCTACAACTCTACAATCACCCAAAGCTAGATAAAGAAGAAAAGAACACCTAAACAGACCAATTACAATTAGCGAAATTGAAATGGTAATCAAAAACCCTCCCCAAAAAACAAAAGCCCAGGACCTGATGGATTTACAAATGAATTCTACCAAACATTCAGAGACGAATTAGTGCTATCCTTCACAAACTCTTCCAAAAAATTGAGAAGGAAGGAACAATACCAAACACGTTCTATGAAGCCAACATTACACTAATACCAAAACCGAACAAGGACAACACAAAAAAGGAAAATTACAGGCCAATCTCCCTAATGAACGCTGATGCAAAAATCCTCAATAAAATTTTAGCCATCAGAATCCAACAATGTATCCATAAGATAATTCACCATGACCAAGTAGGATTCATTCCAGGGCACAAGGATGGTTAACATCCGAAAATCAATCAACGTTATCCAACACAATCAACAAAAAGAAATATAAAAACATATGATAATACAATAGATGCTGAGAAAGCTTTCGACAAAGTGCAACACCCATTCATGATAAAAGCCCTTGAAATTCTTGGGATACAAGGAACATACCTCAACATCATAAAGGCCATCTATGCAAGCCAACAGCCAGTATCATTCTCAATGGTGAAAAGCTGAAAGCAATTCCATTAAGATCTGGAACAAGACAAGGATGTCCACTCTCACCACTGCTTTTCAATATAATACTGGAAGTCCTAGCCAGGGCAATAAGACAAGAGAAAGACATCCAAGGAATCCAAATAGGAAAAGAAGAAGTCAACTATCACTATTTGCAGACGATATGATATTATACATAGAGAAACCACAAAAACTCCACAGAAAAGCTAATTTCAACTCATCAATCAGTTCAGTAAAGTGGCAGGATACAAAATCAAACATGCAAAAGTCAGTAGCATTCCTATACACAAACAATAAATCTGAAGAAGAAAGAAAAAAAAAAACCATCCCTTTTGTTATTGAAACAAAAAAAATCAAATATTTGGGAATAAATCTAACAAAAGAGGTAAAGGACCTATACAAAGAAAACTATAAAACACTGTTTAAAAGAAATAGAAGAAGACACAAAGAAATGGAGAGACATCCCCTGCTCGTGGATTGGAAGAATAAACATTATTAAAATGGCCATCCTTCCAAAAGCAATATACAGATTCAATGCTATTCCAATCAAAATTTCAATGTCATTCTCAAAGAAATAGAACAATTATTATGAAATTCATATGGAATCACAAAAAACCCCGAATAGCCAAAGCTCTCCTGAAAAAAAAAGAAGGGAATGGAGGCATTACACTCCCAGACTTCAAACTATACTACAAAGCCATAATCATCAAAACTGCATGGTATTGGAACAAGAACAGACATACAGACCAATGGAATCGAATAGAAAATCCAGAAGTAAACCCACAGATTTATGGTCAACTAATTTTTGACAAAGGAGCAAAGACTATGCATTGGAGCAAAGAAAGTTTGTTCAGTAAATGGTGCTGGGAAAACTGGGTCGCTACATGCAAAAGAATGAAGCTTGACCACTACCTCACACCATACACAAAAATCAACTCAAAATGGATTAAAGAACTAGACATAAGACCTGAAACCATAAAATATATAGAAGGAAATATAGGCGAAACACTACGTGATTTGCACATCAAAGACATCTTTACAGACACATCACCCAAAGCAGTGATAGTGAAGGCAAAGATAAACAGCTGGGACTACATCAAATTAAAGAGCTTCTGCACAGCAAAAGAGACAATAACAAAAACAAAGAGAAACCCCACCAACTGGGAGAACATTTTTGCACCCAACACTAATGATAAAGGACTGATCACAAAAATCTGCAAAGAGCTGATGAGACTCAACAACAACAAAGAAAATAACCCAGTCAAAAAATGGGCAGAAGAGCTAAAAAGAAACTTCTCTGAAGAGGAAATGCAAATGGCCAACAGGCATATGAAAAAATGTTCAACATCACTTGCCATCAGGGAAATGCAAATCAAAACTACCATGAGATACCATCTTACACCAGTGAGAATGGCACATATTAAAAAACTAGCAACAACAAATGCTGGCGAGGGTGTGGAGAAAAAGGACTCTTCTGCACTGTTGGTGGGAGTGCAAACTGGTCCAACCAATGTGGAAAGCTGTGTGGAGATTTCTGGACCTACTAAACATAGAGCTTCCATATGATCCAGCAATTCCACTCCTAGGTATTTACCCAAAGGACACAGAAACATCAATTCCAAGAACACCTGCACCCCTATGTTTATAGCAGCACTGTTTACAATAGCTAAGCTTTGGAAACAACCCAAATGCCCAAAAATAGATGACTGGATCAAGAAGATGTGGTACATATATACCATGGAATATTACTCAGCATTCAAAAAAGATAAACACATGCAATTTGCAGCAACATGGATGGCGCTGGAAGGGATCATGCTCAGCGAAATAAGCCAAAAAGAAAAAGAAAAATACCGGATGGTCTCACTCATAGCAGGAATCTAGAAAACTTAAATAAGGGACCAGGAAAATGAATAACTATAAGAAAGTGAAAATCAAAATCAACAAAAAACTATGAACCAGAGACCTTTTTGGGGGGCGGGGGCGGGAGGGGAGGGATTGGGGTCAGAATGGGGGGATGCAATTGTATGGGGAATATAACAATAAAATTAAAAAAAAAAAAAAAGTTAAAACTGCAAAAAAAAAAAAAAAAAAAAAAGAATACAATATAGAGTTTTAAAGAGGAAGCCTGACTTAGAGTTGGATGATTATATATTGTCTTTCTTACCCATTCTCCATTTCTCCAACACACATATAATGTCCTCCAATTAAAACAACAATATCACACACAGAGAAAGAAACCTGAACCCCATGTGGTTTAAACAATCCCCAGACCTCTAAGTAGGAAAAGTGTGTTGACAGTGGTGGACTGGACTAGATTCTTTTGCTTGAGGGAATATCACCTCACCCAAGGGTTAGAATTTGACCATGGCCACTCAGCTATTAAGTGAAGGAATTAAGGTTTGACTTGTCTGACTTCAGAACCCGTGTTTTCAGCATTACTTTATTCTACATTCTCTGCATTGATTTTGTACCTAATTTTTGTTCTTTTTCTTCTTTTTTGTGTGCTTTAGTGGCATTTTCAACACTGGACTTAGAGTATTCCCTGATCTAACTAAAGTTTATTCCACTGATGTATTCTTTATACTGTAAGTATACACCATGCAATGTTTGCAATATTTTATTTGTCAATGACAAGAACCAGTGGTAATCATGGGGGTCAGTTAAAGTCAAGTGAAGCAATTATCTCAAGGAGAAAATAGTGATTAGCTCTGCCAAATGCACTAATGGATGGAGTCATGAAAGAACTGAGTTTAGTAATATGGCACATTAATGATTCTAACAGAACTGTTCCAGTGGAGGACTGGAGATAGAGAAGTCTGGTAGAAGTAGGCTCAAGAGAGAATCAGAGGATGAACATTAGAAAGTGTGACCATAACAAATGCTTTTGAGAGGTTTCACTATTAAAAAGGAACAAAATGGGATCAAATTCAGCAATCAAAAAGGTAAACTCATGCCATTTTGCAGCAACGTGGATGGAGCTGGAAGGGATTATGCTCAGTGAAAAAGCCAGAAGGAAAAAGAAAAATATTAGATGGTTTCACTTATAGGAGGAATGTAGGGGAATCAAATAAGGGATCAGGAAAATAAATAATAACAATAATAAATTAAAAACAAAAGTAACAGGCAACTATAAATTAGAGACTTTCTGCAGGGGAAGGGCAGAGAGAGGGAGCAAAACAGGGGAGGAAGGAGCACAAGGGACTATGGTGATGGTGCACAGTGAATTGGTGGTGGGAATTTCACAGGGACTACATCTGAGAGGAGAAAGCAAACATTGTACCAAAAAAAATGAACAATTATGTAAAATATATATAAATTAATTAATAAATTAATAAAAAATAAATCATCTTCATAGTTGAAAGATATTGGATCAAGAGAAAAGGTCTGTTGTTTGTTTTTTTAATGAAAGAAGTTTATTTGCTGATGGGAATGATTAAATAGAAGGAAAATTCAATGATAAGGATAATACTTTATTTTTCCCCCAAAGGAAATTTCTCAATTTCTGCAACTGTTACATATGCCTGCTCAGAATTGAAATTTAATGTCTTTAATTTAGCTGTTTCCAAATAATAAAATAATTGTCATCTTAAGTAATTAGCGGAAAATAAAGGCCATCCAATCAAAAAGTTTCCCCTCTCCGGGGATTTGAGCAGCAATAGTCTCTGGTTACCCAACGCCATAATATCTAGGGAAGGTGAAAATAGTCACTCAGTTGTTTTTGTTACTTGTCAAGAACCCCCACTGCACCCCAATCCAACCCCACACAAATGACTGGTCTCACTAGTATTTTTAATGAAATGGATCCGTTTTTCAGGCGTAGGGGGAATCCAATCAGCAATTCTTAGGAAGGGAATTAAAAAAATAAAACAATCATGAGGTGTGGGGAGATTTATTTGGAACTTGTGGGTTGAAGGGCAAAAGAAGGCTGGAGAGGAAAATGGTTGGAGAGGAAAATGAGTTTGAGACAACTGGTACTTGAAGTTGTCACAGAAAAAGGCAGAGATTGGAGAGAGGAACATCATTTTCCAGAGTCACTTGATCCTTAGCTCTTGCTCTAGCAAAGCACAAAGCCCTTTTTGCAGCCTTCCTCCCACTCTGCCCACCATGACTGCAATCAGAGGAGCTAAGTGGCTAGAGCACCTCTGTAATAGGCGGTGATTACCTGCAGGAGAGTAACTCTCTGTGCCTTCCTTTTCTGTGTGCTTTGATTTTTTTTTTTTTTTTTTTTTTTCAGAAAGACATGCAAAGAACCCAACCATTCCAAAACAAAACATTCCTTGAATTCCTCCTTTCTCCCCACTCCTGACCAGACCACCTCAGCTTTTCATAAATCTCTCCCCTGCTTTGTAATGATAATAAAGAGCCCTTATATCTTCTGTGCTTGCATGTTCTTCAGAGTACTTTCACATTCATTATCTCATCTGTTTTTCAAAACAACTCTATAAAGTGGGGAATGCAAGGACCATTATTCTGTAAGATAAATGAGGACCCTGGAGCATGAAGAGGTTAAATTATTTATCCAAGTTCATCTGGCTAATTAACAATAAACAGACTGTTCCCCAAATCTCTAGATTGAGGGTTCACCTCTCTATTAATTCTCTCTCTACTGAAGTGTATTCTGTAGTGTGATTCTTTTTACATTATTTTAAGACAATTCAGAACACATATGAAACATGTGTTAGGGAGTGATGCTTTACTTTGCCAAAAGATTCACATGCTTTGCCCGAGAATTCACTACAGGGCTCTTAACATTCTGCAGGGGAGCAGCATCTACAGTGATAAGGGACTCACACACTCAAATGCTTTCCCATGCATTATCACATTTGCTCCTCTCAATCATCTTATAAAGCACAGGGGCCTCCCTGGTGGCGCAAGAGATTAAGATGCAATCTATGAAGCTAACCACAGACACTGCAGCTCAAGTTCGATCCCTGGCCAGGGAGCAACCCACATGGCGCAGCAGACCTCTCCTTTCTCTCCCGCTGCTCCCCTCAGCAGTGTATTTCGGTAGATCTGCCTGTTCTGTTCCCCACTCTGTCTCTGGGAAATCCTCTCACCTCCCCCTACCCTGCACCTCTGGCCTGTACCCCAGCTCTTGTATGCATAAAATAAAATAAATCTTTTTTAAAAAAAAGCACATAAGTTACCATTTTTCCATGTTACAAATGAAGAAATGAAAGAATAAAAAACCTAAATGATTTTGTCTAAGCAGTAGCCCAAGAGGCAGTCACTAGTGCGCTGCTTCCTGTAACTCTCATTTGTATCCGCATGCTCTCTCCAAACCCAAAGGCATGGTGAGTTATCTTACCTGATGGAGAGAGGTGAAGGACCATATGCATAATATGGGGTTACAAGTTGAGTTTGCACTAGAGTCAGAAAGAGTGTAGAGTGACAGGATCCAAACTCTTGAGTTTGGGGTAAGAAAAATAGTGACCACATTCTTTGCTACAGAAAGCTCAGTTCAAAATATGGCATTGTGTGGGAACTAGACTGGCTTAGAAATGATCCACAGGAGCTCCTGCCTGGCAGAGTTTTGTGAATGGAAGACATTTTAGTAATATTCATGGAATGAAATAGAGCCTATTCTCCCAACCCTCCTTAAAGGCTCCATACCCTTAGAAAACCTAAGGACTATGGACAAAATGTTTATTGCAGATTCAGAAGTCTCTGAGATACACCTGCTCACCTTGAAGATGCGGCTTAAGTCAGGGGCCTTGACCCACGCCCAAAACTTCTGTGACTACTGCACATTTGGAGCTTGTATTGCGTGTCTATCTCAGATACCTTATTGAACCTCTATGTTCCTACAGTCTCAGAAGGGTCAAAGAAACATAAAAAGAAATACAATTAAAGTGAATTGTGTCCAGTTACTTATTTAAGTGTGTCTGTGCAATAAGAACCCAGCTTTGTGGGGATAGCATTTTTTTCACCAAGTGTTTTTGTCTCTCTCTTGCAGTGAAATTACAGACAACCCTTATATGACTTCAATCCCTGCAAATGCTTTCCAGGGACTGTGCAATGAAACCTTGACACTGTGAGTATTGCCAAGGCCACTCCTCCCAACAACTGAATTTTTATTTTGACCATTGTCATATTTTCAGGCCATATGAGAACCATACTACCTTGGAGTCTATGTTATAATCTATAAAGGGTTGCATGTAGATAATAGTGTTGCCTTGTTTCCTTATGGAATGGTGTTCTACAGGTGACAAGATGCTTTAGGGAACAAGAGTATTCCCTTATAGAAGTGGTCAGCACACTCAGTGGGTATGGGGCCGGTTAGGTTTTACCAACCTCAAGGCCTTTATGGCAACTGTACAAATCTGCCGATGTGAGGCAAAATCAGCCATTGTTCATGCACAATGCATAAACAAAAGAGCATGGCTATATCCCAACAAAATTTCATTTACAAAAACAGGCAGTGGACCAGGTATGGCCTACAGGCCTCATGATACAATATTCTGTATTTCAGTATCCCATGGTACAGAAACAGAATTTAAAGTAAATTGAAATGACATTACTGAGGTCACTGAGTTAGATAAAGGGGCCATTAAAGATTGTTCAAACTCTGTATTCACACTTCAACTCTGTCATCACAAACTATACATTATCCTCCTCCCAGAGTGTGAATGGATTCTGTTCTTCAGATGTTCAAAATAGAGGCTTTATCAGGAAGATTCACAAAAAGTTCTAGCAGAGAAGATCTGCTAGATAAGTTATCCCAACTGGTAGAGAATTCCCCTCTCGCTGAATTAGTTACAAAACAGCATTGGGATTACATCCAAAGGATGCCTCCTCTGCATTTTCAGTACCACTGCCTAAAAACATGTCTGGTGGGGTTTTTGCCTTGATTTTCACCCCAGCTCCGTTTCTCTGGCAGTCCTCAGCCTGCAACCCTGATTAAATGATTCCCTAGTGAAACTGTTCCAAGCTTCCATTTTGGGCCTGGACACCAGAGCCCCAGCAGGGCCACTCGTACTGGGGACAGCAGGTGGGGAAACAAGGTGCTGCGGCTCAAGAGGAAGATTCCACTGGAGTCCCTGGGGCCCTGGTGCTCAGATCCAGCTGCACAGGGGAGAGACTGTCCACTGGAAGCCTGCTAAGGTGGCACGCAGGAAACTTCTGCCATTGCCACAACTTCAGCGCTGCCTGGGTCTGCCAGGGAGCCCCCTGGGGTCCCTCACACAGGGTGCAGTGGGCAGTAAAACACCCACCAGCAGCTGCTGCTTTCCCTGCCTGCACGTGCTGGGACCATGGGAGGGGAGCAACTGCAGGCGGTGGACTGAGGCTGAGCCAGGCCCCAGAAAAGCCTGTACACCCCGCTGCTCGGTGCCAGGAAACGCTGATCCTGCACCCAGCTTATGCCAGGGGAGCCTGGTTTCAAGAGCTCTCTTGAAAAGACAAGATTCCTGCTCGGCCACCATTTCACTTGACAAAACAAAGACCTGGTCTTAGCCTGTTCAGCCCCAAACCTAGTTCATTTTCCTCATTGGTAAAGGTTGCCACTGTGCTATTTAGTACTCATGGTGCAGAAACTCCTGATTTTTTTCTTTACAGAATGTTACTTTCAACTCTTGGCATTTTTTTCTGAGGACCTCATTTCCCAGCAGCCCACTCAGTCCTGGCAGGGGTTCAAGAGGTATCTGGTAGACGCTTGAATAAGAGAACCTCCTATTTCCTCAAGTCTGCCAGCGGGGATGGCCTGGGATCACCATGAGCTTTTCAAATGGCTGGTTCTGTGTTCCTGCAAAAAGTCCTTTCTTCTTGAAGCTCAGGCCCAAAAACTATCAACTTGAAATAATATGTGTCCAACAGCAATTTGTACCTATATTCCTGGGAGGATTGAGTTTCCATAAGAGTTTGCACTCCATTTTTTTTTCTTTCTTCACTACTTTCATTTTTCAAGGCCTACTTGACCCTTAAGAGTTTTATTTAAGCTCTGAAGTGGGACTGCAACAAAAAACATTTGTAATGTCAAGGATTTTCCCAAAAGTTTGGGAAAATAGAAATACTCAATGTAAAATTCTCAGATCTTCATAAAAGAACTCTAGTTGAGATAAAACTTATCCATGAGAGCTTTCTCAGTTCTGTGCCTGGCTCCCCTGGGCACTGAGCCCACACACAGCCCACCTTCATAGCTGGAACTAAACCCTTGTGTTAGTACTTAAAACAAAATAAGGACAAAGAAATAACGTTTACTTCTCTGTTCTTCAGAACTACACAAGATAAATCCAGTTTTTCAGGGTACTCCTTTTAATATGGTCATTTCATAAAAGTGTCCTTCACTGTGGGAAACACAGAGTGATTTGAGCTTCCCAACAACCTTATCATGAAGGTCTTATCACATTTTTACAGATAAGAAAACTGGGGATAATGGAGACTGAGAAATTCTCAGGAGCACCTGCTATGAGGTCCCGGAGCCAAGTCTAACTCTAAATTTGGAGTTTCTTGTGTGCTTCTTACTGTGCTATTCCTATAACAGGGGTCACAGGTAGTGGAATACAGTACTTTTGAAAGTTCCCGGGCCTCCCCGGTGGCGCAGCGGTTGAGCGCTGGGTTGCGAAGCTGCCCGCAGCCTCTGCAGCGCCGGTTCGATCCCCAGCTGCTCCCCGGCCACCAGAGGAGGGTCCCACATGGAGTGCAGACCTCTCCTGCCACCCGCTGCTCCCCTCAGCAGTGTGCTTCGGTCCTTCTGCCTGCTCTGCTCCCCGCTCTGGCTTTGGTGAATTCTCTCACCCTCCCGCACTTCTGACTGTACCCAGTGCTTGTATAAATAAATAAAAATAAATCTTTTTAAAAAAAAAAAAAAGAAAGTTCCCTACAACTGCCACTGGCTGTGCCTCAGTGTGGTCACGGCTGCCTTCTCTTATCTCATACCAGTAGCCCCAGCCAAGCCCAGGCATCTCCATGTGGCCCAGAACTCCCCAGGCTGGGGCTTCTTCTCCCTCAGGAAGGGTGTGTGCGTTTGGTGGGTGGGAAGATTTACGTTTCTGGTGAGGAGTCCTGTTCCCAACAGTTCTGCAGTAATGTGGTTTTGGCAGGTCACCTCCATGTCTCAGTACATTCGGTAGTGATAATACTTCTGAGAATCATTGTATGAATTAATTAGTTGCTAAGATACAACTTTGCCGCAGCCGCTGCGAATCGATGTATGAGATTATGGTGAAGGACTGGTGGAAAAAAGAGCATGCCTCTATAAAAAAAAAAAAAAAAAAAAAAAAAGATACAACTTTAAAATTTCCACAAAAAGGCACCATCCATCTACTTTTTCAGATTCATCCATGAGGATCACTTTAATTCAGCCCACACCTTGAAGCATTTAATCTCTGACAAAACCTGAGGGCAAAACTGTGGCTAAAATACAAATGTGAAATGATGTTTTAATTGGAAAATATAAAACCTGTCACTCCAACAAATGTGCTCATTTTATAAGAAACTGCAGTTATTCCTCCTTTGCTGACATTGTGTTAACTATTACGAAAATCTCTATTTTTGAGTAGATGGAACATTTTAAAGGTTTTTTTTAAAGATTTATTTATTTATGCACACAAGAACCAGGGTACAGGCCAGAGGTGTTACAGGGAGAGATGATTCACCAGAGACAGAGTGGGGAACAGAACAGGTGGAGTGACTGAAATACACTGCTGAGGGGAGCAGCAGATGAAATCAGGAGATGTCTGCTGCACCATGTGGGTCAGCTCCCTGGCTGAGGATCGAATTTGTGCTACAGTGGCTGTGGATAGCTTCATCAGTTGTGCCTTAGCCCCTTGCGCCACCAGGGAGGCCTCATTTTTAAGTATTTAATAGTGGAAAATCTGTTCCTTGAAGTGAATCTACTTCAGCAAAACAGCTTCAAGTCATTAGAAGCTAAGTCTGGAGCCTGGGGATTTAAACCGGAAAATATCAAATGTCCCAAACAAGACATTTTATAAAGTTTTCCTGTGGGACTGGAGACCTGCCATCCACATTTCTGATATTGAAGCCCAACCTTCAGAACTTGCCAGCACCACCTCTCCTAGGTCACTGACTTCTCCTCTCTCTGTTGATTATAGGAAACTCTACAACAATGGCTTTACTTCAGTCCAAGGACACGCTTTCAACGGGACAAAGCTGGATGCTGTGTAAGTCGAGGGAAGTCCAGGAAACTTCTTCTCCTCTCCCATATTCCCACTCCCAAGAAGGACCCACCATACAATGGGACAGAATTCCACTATAGAACATCCCCCAACCCCAAAATGTCCAAAACTAGGGATTGATGTTTAAGGAACATGGCAAATGCCCATTGTGGTGGACACTTACAGTGATGCCAACTCCAAATCCCAAAGTTCTTATCCTGAGAAAATGGAAAACCATGGTGGCCCCTTGAGTTATCATACAGCGTGTGTGTGTGTGAATTTTTATTTACTGTGTACATGAAGCAAAGGGGGGGTCTGTCATTAAGTCCAAAGCTATTCAGAAAAATAAGATTTCCAATTTGGTTTTTTCTTTGGTTTTCAGGAGAGGTATCAGTTTATACTTGATCCACTCAAAAATAGCTGAAAAGCCATAGCCACCTTTGCCTTCCTGCAAAATAATAGCTAGAACTGGGTGTGGGCAGAACGATGATTATTGTAACTTGTCAGACTTTCCTAGTTCGTGTCCCCAGCACCTATGCCATGGCATTCTTCATTTCCAAGGGTTTGTGGACTGGTTCTATCATATTGATGTTTGTAACCTAATATCTAATAAATGAACAATAGCTTTAGTAGAGTTGCCTCCCACAATGTGGTGGCCAGCTAGTTTTGAGAGCCCTCCCTCTACAAAACAACTAGATCATACATTTTTAAAAAATGCATTTTATGTTATAGCTCTAAAAGAGGGGAACAAAGTAATCTAGGAAGCCAGGAGCTGAAATCCAAGTATTAAGTGCTCACAGAGGGTGGCGTTCCCTTCTGGCAGCTGCCAACTTCAGTGTGCCAGAAGATTAGGCTGAGATGCATGAGAAGGCAGGGGAAGCAAGGGAATCCTGTGCCACCTGGATGCAGCCAGAGAACTCTACAAATCAAGAGTGGAGCACCAGGGTCCTACCTCCTGACTCCTGAGGAATGAAAAACAAAGCTTCACAGAGGAAAAAATCCCATTGCAGGCTCCCAGATTTTTTTTTTTTTTTTTGAGATTAGGATAAATCAAATATGAACTCACAGTCAAAAATCATACATTGGAGAGGAAAAAAAAAACTCACCATGAATGAGAGTCAGCTGAAGCGACAACAATTTTTGTATCTTATTTGTTTTATGACACCTCACTGAATACTTTTTAAATATATTTTTTCAACTCCAGCAATTCTATTTGTTTTTTCTAAAATTTACCTGCCCATTTCTGATTACTGCTGGCTTTCTCATTTTTGTGATTCCATCTTTTTTCTTTGAACATTTTCTATATAGCTATTTTTAATTCCAGACATAGTCATTGCAAAATTTGAACACCTATAGTTCTAGATCTGTTGTGTTTTACAGTGCTTCTCGAACGTTATTGAACATATAAACCATCTGGGGATCTTGCTTTAAAAAGATGAATAGTGGATGATTTCACTCATAAGTGGACGACAAAGAAATAAAACCAAGGAACAGACAAAACTAAATCAACACAAATCCTGAAAAATGACTGCAGAATTGAAACTACGAGAGGGGGGAAATTGTCAAAGGGGACAGAGTAGGGAGAGGGCTTGATAGATTATGGTGGGGGACTATAGGGGCTTTGGCGGTGGGTGTGGGCTAAAGAGTTGGGAACCTATAGGTGGAAACCTATTCCCCTAAATCATATACAGTATTGTAAGCCAGTGTTACCTCAATGGTGAAAAAAAAAAATAAGCAGATTCTGATTCGGTAGATCTGAAGCGAGCTAACAAGCTCCCAGGTGCTGGTGCTGGTTCGTTCACACACACACACACACACACACACACACACAGATTAAGTGGTATTATTCTTGTTTGGGGGTTAGATGGTGGGTTAGTATGATTCTATTTTTAAAAGATAGATGCTAGTAAGTTTCAAAGTCATGATACTTAAGCATGGTTTTCTCAGTTATTTAAAGTGGGTTCTCATTCTTTGCCAGGCTTTTGGAGTTCCCAGAAGTCTTTATCAAATGGAGAAGTATGATTGTGGCTTCATTCAACTTGATTTTAGTAATTTTTTTCAAAGCACATAATTATAGGAGATGTCTAAAAAAGATTTAATAGATATGTGTACTTATTCATGAACTTTATTTACAGTATTAAAATGCTACTTCCATCTTAATTTTATCATACAAATCTCACCCAATCCTTCATATATTTTTTAACATTTATTGAATGCTTACTTTCATTGCTCAGCCAATTAAAGGCATGAAATACAGAAGCTTCCAACCAGGAAGAGTAGACTCAAGTGATAGAAAGAAGGCAATTCAAAACTCAAGGCTCAACCAGCAGAAGTTTCCCCAGTTTCTATCTATAACAGTATGCCCTGACATAGGTAGTGAAGACAGACAAAGACAACAAGCAACAGCATCATTAACCAGTAAGAACTTGGCTTTTCCAATGCAGCAAGCTCACCAACTCGGTGGGCTTCCAAATGAAGTATGACTGGGCTGCACCTGATGAAACCCCTGGCATGTTATTACATTCAGTTAACTGGGGTTGAGGTTAGGACATGTATGCTAACTATTTGCATCAAAACATCTCAGGCCTGTTATCACTGGCTTCTTGGTAATGTTTCGAATATTCCACAGTCTTTAAGAGTTCCAAAATGAGTATTCTGTAATCAGGAGAGTTGTCTGTACTAAGTGGATCTCACTGTAAGCCTTTCTCACTAGAAGCCTATTATTTTATGGCTTTGGCTGTAAAATCAGCTGCAGAGTACTAAAGGAGTTAATTTTCTATTGAAAAGATGAAAAAAAAAATAACAAGGGAACAATAATTTCTGTTCCAGCTTTCCCCCAGTTTTTGTAGTTAGAGAGGGAATGGGGGAGCTGGAGAAGGGGAGGCAAGCATTTCCTAAATTATGTTCCTTGAACCCTCTCTCCATGGTAAATTAATGGATATTATTTTTAAAGTTATTAATGACCTTATAAACTATGTTCAGGTGCACTTCTCTGGTCTTTCAAAATAACAATCTGAATTACTAGTATCCAAGAGAGGGAAATAGTATGTAAGGTTTCCCAGGGAGCTCTTGGCTCCAGGGGCATCTCTTTGGAGTGCTGTTCCAGAGAACACTTTTTGGGGAATGATAATCAAGAATATATATTCAGATATACCATCTTGTTGGGAATCAGGTAAATGTACCTAGAGGTGGCTGGTGGTGAATCTAAGAGCTAATATGATTTTTAGATCACTTTATGGTCTTCTGAAATTAGACCTATGAAGACATTCTAGTGAGGAAGACTCTCTGTACCTCTCTGCCAACTTTCTCCTCAGACAATACCCTGGTCTCTGTGAGAAGTTTGGCTAATGACAGTCATTATGTTGGAGACAATGGGTTTTATTCACTGTTTTCCTGAATTACAGTCCATTCTAGTCACTGTAACTCTCTTGAAATATAGGAAAGAAATTGGTGCACCATCTTTGCCATACTTTCTTGACAATTAATATAAAATATTAAAGTTATTTGGAAGACTTTAACAAATAATATTTCCTAACTGAGAATCATTTGGTTTTTGTTTTTAAAAGTTTAGTTTACCGATCAGAAAATTTGGGGGGGAAGAGCCAGACAGCAAATATTCTGGACTCTATGAATCTATGATTTCAGTTGCAGCTACTCAACTTCACCCTCAAAGTGTGAAAGCAGCCACAGACAATATATAAACAAGTGAGCTTGACTGTGTTTCAATAAAACTTAATTTACAAAAACGCAGGTGGCAGGCAAGATTTGACCAAATGGTCACTGTTTGTGAACCTCTGGTCTAAATGAAGGTATTCAATGAGGATGAGCATTGCGAGATGAAATATATGGTCTTCTAATTCCTGATAAAGATTGAAAGCCAAGCACGGAATAAAGATAAGGATCTGGGTAAAAATATTTTGGGTTTTGAAAGTTCCAATCCAATCATAATAGAAAACAAGGATTTTTTTTTTCCAATCAGTATTTGGAAACCAAACTTGAAACTCTGCTTCTGCTTTAAAACAAAGTTCCATCTATTCATCCTCTGCCCTAAGTTTCTGATTCCTAGCTGATGTAGATTTATTGTTTTCCCCTAGATTTAAGCACTTCATGTAAACCCAAGGTAAAATCAAGGTGATCATCTTGTAAGGAGACCTGGAACTACAGGAAGACAGGTTTGAGTTATAAATGGAGAAAACAGGTCAAGTTTTCATAGTAATGATGAAACAGTATTCACTTTGTGATTTTAATGGGGCTGTTGACTCTGTTTCAATGTGAATTGTGATTTTAAACTAATGTAAATTTATAAATATCCCATAATTATCCTATTTTTGTTCAAGGGTAGCACATAGCATGTTAGCAATTTCATAAATTCTCCAGAAATATGTTCAAATGTCTTTATGTTATAATTTAAAGAACGTGCTATCCAAAACATCCATTATTCCCCAGTCATCTACCTCACACTAATTTACTGAAAAGAGCAGATTTGACCTCATTTAGACTCATTTTTTAAATTGTAACTCAAGTATAGTATTACAGCCACATTGGATCAATTCCATTCTGAGAAACAGCACTGATGCTTCAGCATCAGTTGGGTAATTAGTTAAAAGTTCATGAAAATGATGGCAGATGTGTCAAAGCACAAAGTCCTATGATTTCAGATGGACCCAAGCACATTGTCATCACTCAGCTGTGAAATTAGTAATAATGCAAGCATCCCTTGCTCAACAGACGTTGAACTGCTGTCGTTCACAAGTCGTGTTCATTCTTTGGAACCTCTTTGTCATCTCTTTCTACACAATTTGGTGTGTGGATCTGTTGCTGTTCTCAGTGTCTAAGTGTCTGGATTGTATTGTCCAGGAACTAGGTACTATCTGACAGGAAACATTTAGGCAGGGGAGAAAATTCCATTTTGATGTGCTAAGAACACACTGGACGCTAATCACCGAAGAGTCAACATCACTCATGTGCTAATTAGCGTCACATCGACTCATTAAAAGCAAAGCGCCACAGCTGGAGCTTTGAGAAAAGCTGACCTTAGAGCAGATTATGAGATTAAGCAGGCTATTATTTCTCATGGGGCAAGCATTTGAACAGCTTGTAGGATATGCTGCCACACTGGCTGTTACCTCTGCCTATGGAAACCTTGAGAATTTGCTCACCTGTTACTGTTTAGAAACAGGTGTCCTGATTTCCGCCAGCAATGAGGGCTGGGCAGGGATTCCCTTTAATTTTGAAAATAACCACTGCTGTGGGGGCCAAGGAGGGGGAACCAGGTTCCCCTGCACAAGTGTTCCCATGAAAGTCCCACAGCATAAACAGGTGCCAGTGCAACTTTCCTCTAAAGGGATTATGAGGCACAGGCTGAAATTCCATCTAGGAGCTGAAATGTACCCTTAAACTCCCCCAGAGAACAAGCTTTCAGATCACTTCCTCATGTAAACATATTATAGGGGATACCTTTTTCTAGGGGGGATTTATTCATCCAGCATGTGCCAAGAGTGAGGTAAATAGGGAGAAGAGTGAGCCGCCTTTAATACTGAGTTTGTCTAATGCTGAATTTGTCAGCTGAAATTTCTTCCTCAACTCATTCCTGATCCTCTTCATTTTTCTGAATACATTTTTCTTCCTTAACAGTAAGATACACACTATTGGAATCAAGGCAGGGTTTATTAACTCCTCTGCTACCACATGAAAAATATGACATATGTTTTCAAGAAGAACTTCATTATTCCAAGACTTTCTCAAAAATGTATAAATCCTCTAAACAGTGAAAAAAACTGAACACACACAGATATATCATTTTTTAAAATGAAATAAGAATTATTTTCTCTTAAGCCCTTCCCAGCATTTATATTTCAAACTCCTGACTTTCAAAATGTCTTTCCTTTTACCTCTAAAAACAAAACTTTCTACACTCTTTTAAATTCATTTATATTCATCTTGTCCTTGAAATAGTGCAAATTATTAAACATACACACACCTATAACATAATAATTTCTGGGATGTGTTACCCATAGAGCCCCCCAAGGTTTGACATTGATTTACTCAAGTCAGTTTACAGAACATGGATTCTAGAGTAATCAGGATGAGTCACAATCAAGCAGTCAGTTTAACTAGACTGACATTCCCAGTAAACATTATGTGATAGACGGGATAGAGGGTAGCATTTCTTGTTGAATATTGAAGTTTTAACAGATGTATTTCCCAACTGCTCCTCTTTATCAGATGGCAGCTAAATAAAGCTAAATAAAGCAACCAAACTGCTAAAAACAGGATGACATTTCATTTTTAAGCACTTAATTACCTCTAATACATAAAGGGCCCAAACAGCCATGTTGGTTTCAGAGAAGGCAGCCCCCCTCAAGACTCAGTTCATCTCTGTTCACGTTGGCTGCTCCCTCTCTCCAAACTCCTTCTCCCCTCTGGACTCTGGCTGCCTTTCCCAGTTTGAAATCTTCTGCAGCATTTCGGGTAAACTGCAATGTGTCTGAACCAGCCTTTTTATCCTTGGGGAAGTATTGAATATCAGATGAAAACACTGCAGAGTTGGACGAGCAATTATTTAGTTTTACAATAATTTCTAATGATTAGAGCAAGCAGATCATTGCAGCAGTTGGCAGTGGAGAGGAAGAACTGAGATGAGCTCACCAGACCTTGCTTGACATTCACCAGCCTGGGAAGAGCATGATCTGCAAGCTGCATGGGCCAAAGAATACAAGAGACACAAGCCAGTGTGGCACGTATCCTTGTCCTTTTACAAAATCATGCTGATTAAAATTTTCTCTCCAGATGTTTCCTCCAAGGTGGCGCTTGCCAACTCCATCACTGGACCAAGGGAATTGTGGGTTGAAGGAGAGTCAAACAATGATAAAATGAAGCCTGTGAGTGAGAGCCTTAGGAGGTAGTCATTCATCCAGAATACTCATATTGGCTGCTTTAGCTTCTCAGTTGGGTCTTTGTAGAAATACAAGATTATTGGTGCTCTCCATTTCAGATTCAACGATGGCCTGGAAGCTCGGTGCTCAGCCACTACCTGGGCCCACATCTGGGCTGTGTGCGCTTGTGGCATTTGTAAGCCTGCTGCCTTGTCACTGCCAAATGATAACTGGCCAGAAAGACAATTGGCCAAATGCTGAGTCTTCGTTCATTCTCCATATTTTTTTTTTTCTTAGAGCTGTCACATGTACTACCTTAAGAGCTTAGTGTAACACACCTCACTGTTGGAGAGGAAAGGCACATTGATTTTTTAACTCACTCATTTACATATTCATTCAGCAAATGAATAAGACAGACAGCTTATATTCTGGTTGGGGGCACCAAAGATGAACAGGTGAATAAGATAATTATAGAGGGGCTTCCCTGGTGGCGCAAGGGGTTAAGACGCAGCATTATGAAGTTATCCACAGCCACTGCAGCATGAGTTCCATCCCCTGCCAAGGAGGTGACCCACATGGCGCAGCAGACCTCTCCTGTCTCACCTGCTGGTTCCCTCAGCAGTGTATTTCAGTAGATCTGCCTGTTCCACTCCCCACTCTTTCTCTGGTGAATCTTTTCACCCCCCACATCTCTGGCCTGCACCCCAGCTCTTGGATGCATAAACAAATAAATCTCAAAAAAAAAAAAAAAGAGAGATAATTACAGAGGGGCAACACCAAGAGAGAACTAAAGGGTGCAATGAGGGTGACTACTTTAGATCCGGCAGTTCACCCCACCTCAGCTTGAGGAAGAAATGGAAAAAAATCACAAAGACTGCACCAATTTATGCAGCCTCACTTTGTGAAGTCCAGCTACTTCCTTGTCATTTGGTTAATCCCTCACCCTGCCCAGAAAAGGAAGTCTTCATTGGTGGTTGGTAACTCTCTTCTTTCCCCAGCTGCTCCACTGAAGACCCATCTCTTGATCTCAGGTTGCTTTCTCTTTTTCTAAGTAAGTTCTATCCTCTGCAGAGGACTGGAGAAGAGCTGAGCTCTGGACCAGGAGCAGCTGAGGGCAGGAATCTAGTAAAAGCTCGGTTTGTTCCTGCCTTTGTTCAGCTGCAAAGAGGCTGTCCCTCCTCCTCAGCTAGCCACAAATGAAGCCACCTGACCTCTTTTCTCTTTAGTCTAGAGAAAGAGAGGTTCAGCCAATTAGCCCAGGGAATACTTCTATGTGAGGACTCTAGAACAGGAATCCTCTGACCCAAAGTCTTCAAGTCACACTATGGTTAACAATTATCCTGAAGAATTTTCCATCATGAAGCACAAACAGCATAAATAGAATAGGGGCATTACCCTTATCTAAGCAGACCTCCTAAGTTCCCCGCTGTATCCATAGCGCATTAATACGTGGTCACTCACTAATTCTTCAGTTTGACTAGGCTATGTAAACATACATAAATGGAGACCATTTACATCAAGAATATACATGTACACTGCTTCTTTTTAGATAATCTTGTTCTCTTAAAAATCTGGGGTGGGGGACAGAGGGAGCCAGTTTCAAAATCCTTGAAAGCTTTTATCCATTTAGAGGTAATTTTATGTTCGAGAATCACTTTGTGACTTAAATTGCTTCAAAAGTATTTTACCCTCAAGTGCCCAATGTGTTTTCAAAATGGAGAGGTCAGTGTGCCCATCAAAACCCTATCAGGAAAGTGACCTGCAGTAATGTTATCTGCATGACCTGCCCCCACAAACGTAAATGAAAATGCAGGTCACCCAATTAAATTTTAATTTCAGATGAGCCACAAATCACTTGTTAATATAAGAATATTTCCAAAACTTGTGTGGAGTATGCTTACACTAAAATATTATTAATCATCTGAAATTCAAAATTAAATGGGCATCCTATACGTGGACCCCAAAGAAAACATTTTGAACCTCTGACAATCCCTCTCACCACTCATCACCTTCACCACATTCATTTCATTCCTGACTTAAGCCCAGTTTTCAAAGGTAAATGAGGCATTTAGTAAGAAGCAAAATTTAAATCTGTTGGTGTTGAAGAGTATTGAAAAATACAATTACTACTGTCCAAGTAAATAGGGAATAGGCATCTTTCTCGAAATCTAGATGTGCCAGGTGTATCACAAGCATACTCACATTCAAAGATTTCCACAGTGATTAATGTGTATAAACCTTGCACAATTGAAACCCAGCATGTTTTGAATGCTTAAGGCAAAAGAAGGTAAGATGTTTTCCAAATTCTTAAAATCCGACTAATAGAGGATCTCCCTGGTGGCCTAGGGTTTAAGACTCAGCACGATCACCACTGTGGCCCCGAGTTCGATCCTCAGCCAGGGAGCTAACCCACATGGTGCAGCAGACCTCAGTTTTTCTACACAAAAATAAATAAAATAAAAATCTTGCAATAAAGGAATAATTCTTTAAAAAAAAACAGTTAATAGGGTCACCATTCATTTTGTATTAATTTTCTCAACCTCATCCATTCTCTCTCTCTCTCTCTCTCTCTCTCTCTCTCTCTCTCTCTCTCTCTTTCCTTAGTTACCTGAACAAGAATAAACACCTGACAGATATTGACAAAAGTGCTTTCGGAGGAGTTTACAATGGACCCACCTTGCTGTAAGTAACACATCAAAGAACGTGTTGTTGGTTTGTTTGTTTTTTTTTAATTGGAAAGGGGGGCATTAAAAGGAGCAGCTAGTGGTCATTGCTGGGCATGTTACTGTCCTGGCTAAAGGCTTCTGCTAGTACTCTTTGCCCAGCTGTACAGGCTACATCTTTTTCTTTTTTTTTTACAATTTTTTTTAAAGATTTATTTTATTCATTTATACAAGCACTGGGTACAGTCAGAAGTACGGGAGGGTGAGAGAATTCACCAGAGCCAGAGCGGGAAACAGAACAGGCAGACTGACAAAATACACTGCTGCGGGGAGCAGTGGGTGAGACAGGAGAGGTCTGCCGCGCCATGTGGGACCCTCATCAGCGGCCAGGGATCGAACCAGCACTGCAGAGGCTGCAGGCAGCTTCCCAGTCCAGCGCTCAACTGCTGTGCCACCAGGGGAGGCCCTGTACAGTCTACCTCTTGGAAGAAAGTCCTGTGCTTTGAGACTCAGAAGACCAACACTAATCAGGCAGTCACCTTAGTGTGGACATTCATAAAGAAAAAGACATTTCTGAGCAGCTGTCTTTTGCAATATTCTGAGACATGAGATTTACAAATAGAAGGAAGGTACTCTAGTCTTTGCGGAGACTGTATATACATTCCACAGTGGCTGGCACAAAGAAGGCAGAGAATCACTGATCGCTTGATCATCTGCAAGAACGCATAGTCATTAGGGAGAATGAGATGTCAACATTTCTTAAAACAGCATGGAAATAATAACTATTCATGCATTTCCTCTGATTTATACCTCCACATCCAATCAGTGATCAAGTTCTGTCCATTCTACCTTCCTCGCACCTCTTTATCAGTTCCGTCTCTCCATATCCTTGGTTTTACCTTAATTTAGAATCTTATCATTAAGTATCTAGTCAAGTCCTTGCCAAAGAGGAGTACAGTACCCTGTGAGAAGCATGAAACAATCCATTCAAATCAAGAAGAAATATTGAAGAATATTTGCTAAGCTTGGGATGCTTCAGTAGGAATTTTCAATAGAGGAAGGTCACTGAAGGGTGGTCAGGGAAATCCTCATCAAGAAGTTGTCAATTGGGGGCCTCCCCAGTGGCGCAGCGGGTTGAGCACAGCACTGTGAAGCTGTCTGCAGCTTCTGCAGCATGGGTTCGATTTCTGGCTGGCCAGGAAGATGCCCACATGGTGCAGCAGACCTCTCCTGTCTCGCCCGCTGCTCCCCTCAGCAGTGTTTTCGGTCCATCTGCCTGTTCTGCTCCCCACTCTGTTTCTCATGAGTCCTCTTACCCTCCCGCTCTCTGGCCTGTACCCCAGTTCTTGTATAAATAAAAATTTTTTTAAAAGGAGGTGTCAATAGGGAAAAGATCTAAAAATAATAAAGGAACAAGTCCTGTGACTATCTAAAGAAAGAACATTCTAGAAAAGTGCAAAGACCTCCATATGAGAATATACTTAGAATGGCTGAGGAACAGCAGGATGCTATTATAGCTCAAACAAGGTAAGCTAAAAGGGGGACAAAATAAAAGTTACAGTCAAAAAGATAATGGCGTGGGAAATAATAATTTTTGATGGCCTTAGAAGTCACTATACGGTCTTTGATTTTTCTCTCAGAGGGGAAGCTATTGGATCCTTTGGGGCTTAGAAGTGCTGTGATCACACTTGTTTTTACAGGATCTCTCTGTATGTTGTGTTGTGAACACACTGTAGAGGGTCAAGTATGGAAGCAGGAGGACCACTTAGGAGTATCTCAAAATCACATAGGCATGAGATAATAGCAGCTTAAGCCAGGTAGAAACAGTGGGGTGATAAGAAATGGTCAGACTCTGACTACATTTTTAAGATAAAGCCAATCTGATATGCAAACAAGATGTATTTAGGGAAGTAGACAAAAGAAGAGTCAAGGCCAACTGCAAAGGTTTTAGCCTGAGCAGCTAGACTAATAGAGGCACCATTTCCTGAGATGAGGAAGTCTGGGAGGAGGGACTATGTGGGGATGAGCAGTTTGAGTTACCTGTTTCAACAAGCAGGCAGTGCTATCTACGGATATGAAATATACAGCAGAGATCAAGCTAGACACCTATTTGAGACTTTTTGGAAAGTCAGTGGTAAAGGGAGATGCTGAATTTTTGGGAAATTTTAAAGAATGTATAGAATGGAGACTTCTGATAACCTTCCCCACCAAAGTGATTTTCCCTGATCATTCCTTAAACAACATTAAAATGGCAGTAACTTAGGAGGGAAAAAAAGCACTGGTTCTCAAGCACAGATTAAAATGCATAAATCCTCAGTGACAGAGAGAATAAGTGACAAGTGCCTTAGAAGACCAAGAAAGAGCTGCATGCTAAGTACTTGCAGGCTAATCGAAGTCACCTAAGCAAGGTTATTAGTTAAATTTTAGTGTACTGCAGTGTGAGTATCAGTGACCAAGAAGTTGAATGTCTTTAAAAACTTCATCTGTTCCCCCAGGTCATCTTTCCCACTCTGCAAAGGCTAACAATTACTTCTTACACACACCAGAAGATCAGAGTTTTTTTAATGTTAAAATATCATCACCAGGGGCCTTCCCTGGTGGCCTAGGGTTAAGGTTCAGTGCTATTACCTCTGCCTAAGTCCGATCCCTGGCCAGGGAGCTGACCCACATGGTGCAACAGACCTCTCTTGTCTCCCCTGCTGCTCCCCTCAGCAGTGTATTTCAGTACATCTGCCCATTCTGCTCCCCACTCTGTCTCTGGTGAATCCTCTCACCCTCCACACCTCTGGCCTACACCACAGTTCTTCTATGCAAAAATAAATCTTTTTTTTTTTTTGAAGATTTAATTTATTTATACAAGAACAGGGGTACAGGCCAGATGCACGGGAGGGTGAGAGGAGTCACCAGAGACAGAGTGGGGAACAGAACAGGCAGACTGACGAAATACACTGCTGAGGGGAGCAGCAGGAGAGACAGGAGAGGTCTGCTTGCCATATGGGTTGGTCCGAGGCCGGCAGGGATAGAACTGGCACTGCAGAGGCTGCCGACGCTTCTCAGCACTGCGCTCAACCGCCTGCGCCACCAGGGAGGCCCATAAATAAATCTTTTTAAAAACATCATCACCAAGGCTCAAAGATAATAGCACAGTTGTGGGCAGAAGTGGGCACTGTTCTGATTGTTGTGAGAGTTTATATTCTAAAATTTAAGACCAAAACTCCCTTATTATTCAACTTGCAGAACACTGTCAAAATGTGTACCCTGCTAGCCAGAGATTAGAGTTTTGGGAAAGCTGACAGGATCAACAAGAATCTTCATTGATAGTCTCCCAAAGGCACCACACAAACAACTTCTCCCACAAGCCTCCCTCACAACTGTGAACAAGCATCCAAGGATCCTCAGACCTTGAGGAAAGCTGTTGACATGAAAAACATAAACTAGGGCAGCCAGAGAACTTGCAAGGAATAGAGACAATGCAAGGAACAAGAAAGCTTTATAAAAATTATAACAAATAGCCTCAGAAAGATTTTTATATCCTTAAATAACATCTTATATAAGAATATTCAGAAAACAAGAAATAACTCTAATTCCTACAATACAATATCAGGAAAAGGTTTTCTGACCCTGGTCCTGGCAATGATGTTCTTAATATGACACCAAAAGCACAAGTAACAAAAGCAAAAATAAGCAAGTAGAATTATAACAAAGGAAATCAGCAATAAGATGAAAAGGCAATCTACCAAAGAGGGGAAAATATTTGCAAATGATAGAAATGTTAAGGTATTGATATCCAAAATACATAAGGAACTCAAATGACTCAATTGCAAATAATGGGCAAAAAACCCAAATAGACGTTTTTCCAAATATATCACACATGGACAACAGGTACATGAAAAAGTGCTCAGCATCATTGATCATCAGGGAAATGCAAATCAAAGCCACAATGAGCTGCCTCTTCTGACCTGACAGAAAGGCTATTATCAAAAGTGCAAAAGATCAGTGCTGTGAGGATGGGAGAAAAAGGAGGCCCGAGAACTGTTGGTGGGAAGGTAAGTTGCATATTCACTATACCACAGCATACAGGCCTAGGGAAGACAGGCTGGAGGTTCCTCAAAAATTCAAAAATACATATACCATATGATCCAATTAATTCCACTCCAAGTATAGATCCAAAGGACATTAAAATACTGTCCTTTTTTTTTTTTAAGATTTATTTATTTATTTATACAAGCACTGGGTACAGTCAGAAGCGCGGGAGGGTGAGAGAATTCACCAGAGACAGAGCGGGGAACAGAACAGGCAGACCGATGAAATACACTGCTGAGGGGAGCAGCAGGCGGCAGGAGAGATCTGTCACACCATGTGGGACCCTCACCAGGGGCCGAGTATTGAACCAGCACTGCAGAGGCTGCGGGCAGCTTTGCAGCCCAGTGCTCAGCCGCTGCACCACCAGGAGAGGCCCTGAAAATACTGTCTTGAATCAATAGCTGCACCCCCATGTCATTGCAGTATTATTCACAGTAGCTAAGACATGCAAACAACCTAAGTGTTCAACAGTGAATGGACAATTACAGAAATATATAAAACATTAGATATATTGTATAATATATGTAATAAATACATATATATGCATGTGTGTTATATAATATATATGAATATTATTCAGCCATGAGAAATTCAGCCATGTTTGCAACAACAGGAATGAGCCTTAAGGACATTATGCTAAATGGAATGTCAGACAGGAAACAACAAATACTGCATGATCTCACTTCTACTTGAAATCTAAAAGAGTGAAACTCAAAGAGTAGATGGGTGGTTTCTAGGAAAAGTGTAAGGGGTGAGGGAAAAGGAGCGATATTGGTTGAAGAATACAAACTTCCAGTTAATAAAATGAGTAAGTTTGGGGGATCAAACTATAGTCGCAGTAAGGTGACTATAGTTAATAATACTGTATCATGTACTTTAAGGTCACCAAGAGTAGATCTTAAGTGACCCCACCACAAAAAAGAAAAGAAGAAATGG